GGGAATAATAAAGCTCAAAAGAAAACAAAGGTGTGTCCTGATTTGCAAGGTAAAGGTGTTTCTCCTACCTTGAACTAAACCCTCCCTGGGATGCTGCACACTGAGTTCAATGTTTCTCTTGTATAAGTATTTCCATCTTCTGCTTGACATCCATGTACTACAAAGCATTGGGGGGAGGGGGGGCTTGAAGGCAGAATGCTTGCCAAATCACGGAGTTATTTCCAGAATCCCAAAGATATCATCCTGTTCTCTTTGCTTCCCAGTACCACAAGCACACTGGGAGCTAGTGGGAAGCTGGCTTTTATGGTTCATGCCAACCTCCTGCCAAGCTTTTCCAAGAACAAGTGCCGGCCCTAGAGACAATCTGCACCACCTGGGTCCTTGTGCAATCTGAGCCAGACTTTGCTTAAACAATTACACTCTGTACTTCCACCCACAGACTCATGGTGCTTAACACTGGCAGACTCAGAAGAAGCCGTTATGTAACTGGCATTCTCCAAACAGAAGAGCTCCCAGAAAGAAGGGCAGGACAAGGAGTGGAGAAGGGAAAACAAGGTTTGCTCTCACAATAGCCATTCCGTCATGTCATTCAACGCTCTCCAAGACCTATTCGAGTGCTTTGAATCCCGCCTCCCCATTTTAAATTCTTGAGTGATTATGTGCAGGTATTAAACAAAGAAAGCCGTTCTCCACCCCCACCAACTGGCTTTGTATATTAAGAAAAAGATTCACTGCATCCTTTTTGTTATGTTGTGCAAACAGTATGACCCCCTTTATCCATGGATTTGATATCCATAGTCTCATCTGCTAATTCCAAAAACTATTCCCTCCTCCTTGAAGTGTTTGTGGGCCTCTCTGGATCCTTCAGTGTGATTTTACGGTATGCTTCCAGCCCAGGTATAGCAGAAAATAATAGGGTTTGTTATTATCTCTGTTTTCAAGTACACATAGATGTTTGTGTGTGTCTTGGAACCTATCTCCTGCAGATATAGAAGTCTTACTCTATCTGACATGTTAAGAGTGCAACTGGAGTTTCATCAAGCTCAAAAGTTATTGTAACCTCTCTCTGCCCGCAGCGGCACTCATCTCCGTGATGAAGAGACAATGCAGCATAATAGGACTAAGACCTAGAAGACCAGGCTGTATTATCTTTTCAGCACACAGAAGTTAATTGGCTGTAACATACCTGGTGAAGGGGAATTAAGAACAGAGCCCTGCTGTCATAGTTCAGGGGAGGGGGAGAAGAGCTTTCTAGGAGAGCATCCTAACTACGTAATCAAACTACAAATTCCAGAATTCTGTAAAATGTAGCCATGACAGTTACATTAGAATCTTTAGCATAGAACAGTAGTTCTTAATCCTTGGTTATGGATTTCAATGGCCAGAAGCCATAGCCAACATAGCCAACAGCCATGGATTCTGAGTCCTGAGGTCCAAAACAACTTGTGAGAACCTTTGGTGCAGGTATCTGCATGAATATTAAATTAAGCTCTCCTGATTGCCCCAGATCACGCATTGCACCTGATCCCTTCTTTCTTCTTGGCCCTTTCTACACTGTGTCGGAAAGATAAACTTAGTGTTGACTAATACTACATGATGCTCTTACTCAACATACAGTACTGCAGATGTTGTTTTATTTCTGAAGTAAGGGTGCCATTTTATACTCATTTTGGTGTAATCTCATCAAACTCCACAAGGCTGACTTTTGTGTAGATGTTATGGGATTTCCTTGTAAACAGGGCTTCCCTTTTGTCTTCCATCTCAAGGGCACAAGAAAAAGGTGAGCCAATGAAACTAGCGGTGAGGTGGAAGACCTCCACAGATACTACCTTGGCAGCTTTCTACCCATTGAAATAATTGAAATTTAAGTCATGCCAAACTGTTCCCTTGGCCTATGTTCAACAAATTTCATTTAGGTTCAAGCTGTTGTTTCCAAGTCATACAGCCATAGATGACTGATCTGATATGAAATTTGCCTACAGAACTTTGTCACAAATTGTGAGTTTATCTGACTTTAGATAACTTTTTGAAGCATGTTCGTGGAGTTGGTTCTAAAATGGCAGTCCTATCAAGGACTATTAGCCATGATAATAAACTGTGGTCTTCAAGACTAACTCAGCATTCTACATGGTAATGTTATGTTTCTATCTTTCCACCTGATCAGTGACAAATGAGAGATATAGCGTATATCACAGTAAGATCAGATATAGAGTTAGGCACATCCAAAAGATTCCAGAAGAAAACTTGCATACTCTTCAGTAAAAACAAACAAAAAAGCAACACCACCCAGGTGGAGAAAAGGATTATCTCCATTTGAGAGCCATCAATACATCAACATTCCTAAATGTACAGAGCTGTGTTTTTAAAATACAGCGGTGCTTTGCAAGATGCCCAATAGCGCTTTGCTTTCAAGCCCTCTTTCCATCTGATACATGCATTAAGAGAATAATCAGTTGTGTGAAACTCAGAGTCATCAGGTATCAGACACCTTAGGCCCCGTTTTCATGTATCCCTTTAAGAAATGCATGCATTCTCAATAGAAGCATTTCGATGCAGCCAGCTACCTCAAATGTTGAACAATTAGACATTAAGATCAAATGATGAATAGATGGAGGTGTAAAATGGCCCACAGTATTTATTTGCATGGTTCCCACAGTTAATTTAACTGGAACTATTTGCTCCAGTGAATCGAGAAAGAACAAGGTATATCCCATTTAAAATTTCAAGTTTAATTTCCTGATCTTTCCAATCTTAAGCTTTGGAGTAAAGTGGGCAGATTGGGCTTTTGCTCAAGATTGTTTTACTACCCTTGTTTGACAAACTTCATGTGTAGATAAGCACTGCCTTCTTAGTTTTACTAGACATTTCAGCAGCCTCGGACGACATAATTCTGCTCAAAATCCTTCTCAAAAGAATCCTGAGTTACTATTATAGTCAAAACGTATTATTTTAAGTATGTCTTAAAGACAAGGTAGAGATATAAGTACTTGGCCTAAGTACTGATAAAAAAACTCTTTGGTGGGAAATACACTCATCCCAGGAATCCAGAGTTGACATTAACACTGAATAAATGGATGGGTGAAATGGAAGCAACTAATATATAAACTGGTCTGTCTATGGAAAGGACCCTGGTTGTCATCCATTTTTTATCTTGTGTGTTTATTCTAAGAGCACTAGAGCAATGGTTAATATTGGTCCTCCAGGTGTTTTGAAGTTCAGCTCCCAGTAGTCCTAGCCAATTTGGCTGACATTCAGGGATTTGGAAGTTGAAAACACCTGGAGGACCAACATTTGGGAATTGCTGAATTGGAGAAAACACCTTGTTGCACTGCTTATGGACCAGTGATTCATATTAGAGCATTTAGTACTTAGCATTTAGTACTTAAAATACAATCTAGCAAGAAGTGAAGAAAGAATTATGAAAATCATTGTAAAGGCAAGCACCCAAAAAATAATCATAGAAAGAAGGGGAAATCTCAGTAGCATCACTATAGCGGGACAAAACACTTTGAAGAAAATCAGTAGGACATAAAAATGGGAGGACCTGGGTGATCACCATGTACGTTTCCTTTAATACACACCACAGGCTCCATACATTTGCCTACAGAGCCTCTTTGATATTTTCCTAATTTTAGTTATTGTGATTGGACTAAGCACTCATCCATTATGCAGAAACAAATATTTGGTGATGTTGTCCACATAGACAAATACTGAGTGCATACAATACAGTGTTCACCTTTCTTAGTATTCGATTATCTAGACAGTCTTTTGGAATTAAGTTTAAAACTAAACATTAGTTCTCTTCTACTTATAGGCATGGTAATTTGTATATGCATATTCATCAAAGCAGCAGTCACACTGACTTCTTTAGGGCCTTATACAAAACTTTATCATCAAAAAACATGCAAGTGGAAAAAAAACATACTCAAGATGACAAAAGATCCCACTCAGGACAAGATGTGTAAATTTTGAGCAGGCCCACTGAAAATACTGTATGCCAGGGGTCTGCAAACTTTTTAAACAGAGGGCCAGGTCACAGTCCCTCAAACTGTTGGAGGGCTGGATTATGATTTGAAAAAAAAAATGAATGAATTCCTATGCACACTGCACATATCTTATAAACTATACAATAATTAAAATGAAGAGCAACGTTAACAAATATAAACGTATTAGTATTTCAATGGGAGTGTGGGTCTGCTTTTGGCTGATGAGATAGGATTGTTGTTGTTGTTTTCAAGTCGTTTCAGACTTAGGTTGACTCTGAGAGAGGGCCGGGTAAATGACCTTCGAGGGCTGTGTTTGAGGACCCCTGCTGTATGATATTCCAAGGTAGGGAAATATAATATTGAGAGTTGAGTGTTGTTTGTCTAAGATCTAAATCCAGTGACAAAACAAAACAAAACAAGGTTGCCTCAAAATACCAAATGTGCTGCCCAGCAAGAGGTGACTGGAAAGCCCAATATAGATACAGGCACCTTAAAATCTGTCTTGCAAGATAAGATGGTAAAGCAGTAGCCATAGTCAGAAAGAGGCATACTGTTCCTTAGGCATTGTAAAAGGGAGGGAGACACCCCACACAGCTTATGATTGGTGGGATGATCTCTCTAGGATCTGTCCACTGGCCTGTTTAGACTCCTTGGAGAGCTGCTTAATGGCTCTCCTTAAAAGGTCCTACGCCACTTTTGGAATGAACAATGCAATTTTTTTGGCTCATTGATCATAAGCTTTCCTCCAACATATTATTAAAAAGAGGAACGCACACACTCGTTCTTATCATACTGTTTTTGGACAAGCAGAATACCAAAAATATGCTATAATAGCTTCTTGTTAATAAACATTGATTTTATGAGGAATAAAACCTGAAGATTCCCAGAATCCCCGAATATCAGCCAAGCTGGCTAGTTTTAGGAGATGAACTTCAAAACACCCAGAGGACCAAAATTTGGTAACCACTATACTCATGCAGAAAGAAATGACTGGTATGAGAAAGACATTATCACTTATAATGAACAAAAAGAATTTTATTGATACATATACACACAGGAATAACAGAGGTATTCGAATAATCAAAAATGGAATGTTTACGAGAGAGTTAAAATAAATAATAAAGATACCCAGATGCATCAGTGCTACCTCTAGCACCACTAAAAGGAAATGCCCTCTTTTGAACAAGTCCATCACTGACAGAGCTGCCACAACACAGTCTGTACAGTCTGCTACCACCAGAAAGTGGTCAATATTTCTGGAATACAAAGAGTCACTATAGTGATTTCTACGATTTTGCATTCTAAATGTTTATTCGCTGTTTTCGTCCCTTATTTCTTTAATAATAGCTATTAGGTTTTGGAGTCCAAAAACATAACCCGTATCTTGGCCCTCATGTACCACGCTATCTTCTCCATAATACCTGCAGGTTGTGTGGGCAAAGTCTATCATTCGAACATCAACAGAACTAGCAGTGGGCTTGTAGGCATATGCCCCTGCAGATTCATCAGATGACTCCTCTGAAAGACCTTCAAGGTCTTCTGGGTCAGAGTCCACAGGTACATCTTGTAATTCCTTTCCGTCATAAAGAATGAGCAAAGAGCTGGAGTAGAAACGGTATGATTCCTGTTTCTCTAAGACTGATTTTAATTCAGTCAGTTTTTTGAGTACAGGTTCAAAGAGTTCTCTTCGCAAATATTTGCCATTATGAAAGAACTGGTAAAGTGCTTCTTTAAATCCTTGGACAGATAGCTTTCTTCCATGGTATTTATTCATGAACATTAACTGGCCAGAACCTGGCTGGTAAACCTATAGAAAAACAATAAAAAATGATTAGTGCCAGATGCAACAATATATCACAATCAAAACTGAGGAAATGAACTGATTCAGGAAAGAAAATCTTGGAAAAGCTCCTCTGGCGTAAAGGAGGGATGGCATTTTTTTTTTGCAATTATAATTCTGCAATGAATGCATTTTAGTTTCCAAGAAAACTGTTCAGATTTACATTGTTTTCTTCCATTTAGGAAGTAAGATTGAAGAATTTAGGATTAAAATTATTTGGCCACCATTTCCATGGTCAGGTTATGACATGCATAGCTGCACTAGTCTCTAATTCAGCTCATTAACTCCAGTATCATGCTTGCACTTGTTAACTCTGTGTGAAAAACTAATGCCAATTGAAGTGGCTGCCTGTGGTATCCCGTGATCTGGTCATGATGAAAAAATACTTTTTTTAAAAAGGAGCTACTGTGTTGGTCTATATCAGTAGTTCTCAACCTGTGGGTCCCCAGGTGTTTTGACCTACAACTCCCAGAAATCCCAGCCAGTCTACCAACTGTTAGGATTTCTGGGAGTTGAAGGCCAAAACATCTGCGGACCCACAGGTTGAGAACCACTGGTCTATATTGTTTGAAGCAAATTAATACATTTGTGAAACTATTCTCTAGTATTCTCTTACAGAGCATGTAGGTATCTGCTAGAAGTATAATGAAAATCAAACTAAAATGACCGTAGCCACCTGATACTCAAAAAGGAACATTTCACATGTTTCTACTAGAAAGCATGCCGGTAAAAACTACTTTCCATAATCACAAACCATGAATTGACAATCACCTCAGGAAAAAAACTGTCATTTGAAATAAGACAAGCTGTTATGAACAGTATGCTTCTTAACAGGTGCTACTTGCTATGAAGTGTTACTATGGACATGGAAGGAGAGAGAAGTTTCTTTTTTAAAAAATCTTGCAGTAGGGCAAACATATTTCATCTAATAGCAGTGCAGAAAAACCATGAAAAAGAGCTACTCTGTGACAGGCATTTAAAATCATCTTTGAAGCTCTGCATTCAGATTATATTAAAAAGAAAGCTTGTGAAGTGAGGTTTCCCTCACTTACAGGGAGTTGGGACCACATACCCAAACAATGAAACATTACATCAGCAGCACACAACTGCGGCCCTTGGTGCTTCTCCCTCTGTCTTTTGGGCAATGAAAGCTCCCAACTCTCACTTCAAGTTCTGAATGAAGCAGATTAGAGAACACACAGCCAAGCTTTCAGCACTCAGAAAAATACATGATGGAATGAAAGCTGATCACAATGACCAAATGAGAACTGGGTTTTGGAGATGGACGTACTGCGTCCAGAGAATGCCTGGGATAGAAGCAGTCCCAAAATAATAGTAACTGATTGATCTTTAAAAGTTAAGCTGCCCTGGGAATCCTTCCACAATGAAGGGCATGACAGATATCATATCAAGAAATTGTGGCTTGCCTTTGAATTAAGATCACATTCTTTGTGGAAGGGGCATTGCCTTGGTTGCTCTAGGATATGACCACTCTACAGTATAGGAACACTATAATGGGGAAAATACTATTCTAGTCTCAATTCTAACAAAATATAAATTAAATTCTTTTTCTGACTTTACAAAACCCTTTTCTCACTCCAACTGAAATGAGCCAGCACACCGCTTATCAGAGGTCCCAGTGCCAAATGATTTCAGATGCGAAATTGAATGTGAGTAGCTATAGCCGATCAGGTATTTTAATGATAAATCAAACTCTTACATCCAAATATAACCTATCAATGGTCCATGGCAGAATCTGCAGAAGATTTTGCACGTTTTGCAGTTGGTTTCAATCCTTTAATATCAAAGACTTGTGTTTCCATGCTTCACTCCATGCACATGCATGTGGAAACAAACTTCCTCTATCTCCTATGAAGAACTTGCTAATCAAATTAAGGGCAGCCTGATGGTTAAATAGCGAATTCCATGCATAGTTAGAGATGGGCACAGTGGCTCACTTTCTCCGCTCCTGATAAGAGCAATTGCTCTGAAGTGGCCCGTCCGCCTGATTACAGTGATACTGCCACGTTCTGGAGCTTTCTTCAGCAAGTTGGTGAATAAAATGTAAAATCTCTCAGCTAGAAAAGTATGAAGTAGTAGAGTTACAGAATTGTTGAAAGTTAATGACAATACCGAATTACTTTGCACTGAGGAAACTTACCAGGCATGTCATTTTAAACTACCTGGCAATGCTCAATTACACCCCACCCCAGCACATCTAGGACTATAATTCAGTGACAACTGTAAGGAGAACCTAGTATTTTCTTTTATTCAAAACAGTTCCAGTTTTGATTCAGGAGAAAGCTGGAGTTTTCCTACTGCAACAGAATGAAAGTAGAAATTGGTTTCACACATAGTCTTTTTTTTTAGCAGGAACCCTCCTAGGCATTTTTAGACTCACCTGCATTCCACACACCCGGACACCAATCACAGCTGAAGTACTTTGCTGACACTTCCGGATCTGATTGGCCTTCTTTTCTTCAGAGGCATCATCTCCGTGCTGTCGGGTTCCCATCTTGAGATCCAACACACAAGGCACCTCGTATCGTGAGGTTAGATTTTCCAGTAAGATAAATTCTGTTTAGTTAAGGAAACTCTGAAAGAACTGTGACTATATTCTTATTTTACTTGCAATGTTCTACCCAATTGTAAGAATTCCTAAGGATGCTCCTGCTCCAGATGAATTAGAACTCGTGTGAACTGATTTAAGAAAAGAATAGTTATTTTCAACTTTTATTGGCTGCACTTGAGCCATCTGCAAAATGCCTTGTTTCCAAAGACATCAGTGACACACAGTCCTGTAAGATGGCAGGCATTTAAGAGTCAGCAATTTGGATTCAGTCTTATAATACGTCACATATTTCTGGTATGCCTTTTGTCAACTGTCCTTCTCAAATTAATAAAGATATTCCACATTAACACAAATTCATGAGTAAATTTGTTTATATGAAGTTCATTTAACAACTACAGCCAGCACTGTGTATCCATAGATTCAATCATCCAGGACTTAAAAGTATTTAAACAAAATTTGACAAGGCAAACTTTGATTTTCGCACTTTACAAAAGGAGCACCATTTTACTATATCACTGAGCATCTGCAAATTTTGGTATCCGCAACGGGCCCTGGAACTCAACTCCAACAGATAACAAATGCCCATTGTATGTAATTTCTTCAGTGCTGTGAAGGCTTAACACTCATCTGAAAACCATTAGCGTTTAGTATGCAGGAGGTCCATTTGTACAAGCATATAGCAAATAGCCTATTAATCAACAAAATACAATTAAACATTCACCTCATGTCTCATTAAGAACCTAAAAGCAGTTCTGCTGGTTCAGACCAAAACTGTGCATTCTGTTCCCACAGTGGCCAAATCGATGCTTATGAGAAATTCTGAAGCAATATTTAAATTCAAAAGCACATCAACACTCATGATCCCCAACAATTCTTGCTGCGAGAACTCTGATACATGGAGCCAATATATCAGTATCATGGCTATAGTCATTTCTACCTTTATTTTCTCACAAATGTCTAATTCAAATGGCAATCAGTGGAATCTGGTAACTAGTCCAGTAATTAAGCAATTACTGTAGTTGTACAATAGACTTTTCACCTTTTGGAAAAAAACTACTTTAACTCATTTAGAACTACATTAATCCAAACTCACTTAACAATGTACATCTAGCACTAATAGACTATAAAGGCTTCAAGTCACACTTTATGTATCACTTATATGAGGGGGGGACAGTGTTTGCACTTACAGGTTATGAGAGAAAGGTGGTGTTTATTTATTTAATATAAATAAAAATGGGTGGTAAGTGTGAAATGAACGTAGCAGACATTTCTTTGGAAATGCAGAACAGTGGAAAAATTGGTGACAAATTACTATCACTTTAGAAATAGATGTTTTTCTCCACCTCCAGACAAAAAGCAAGGTACCTCGTAGTTTTTTTTAAAGGATCTTGAAAGGATGCAAGCTAGAAATCAAGCCATCCTGATGTCTTTGAAAGGGGTAACAACTTTAAGAGCCATACAAAGACGCAGAACTTAATTTTGCTTGCAAGAATTCACTAATTATGATGTAAGCAGTCTTAGCATCATACGAAAATATATTCTTGGTTTAAAGATGTTTGCAATTGTAGCACAATTGCTAAATAGAATCTCACAACACTGGTTTAAAGAGAGGTTTTGCCTAGGACTGCGATATGGGTAACATAGCTCAATTCCCATTACAAACACGTTACAACCAATAGGATTTATCAGCTGTAGAGAGCGCATAGAAATTGCAAGCTGCTGCAGACAACTGACCTGCAGATTTATGCCAGCACAGAAACAGCTAAGCACTATATCAGAACCTCAATTTCAGCAACAGAAAATAATCCTTTATAGTCACAATGATTGACAAGAAACCCTGAATCAGCATCAATAGTCACCCAGTATTTAAATTTGTATGATGGTATTTAATCTTGCAGTGCTCCTAAGACAGTACGGACCTTGTTCTATTTGCAAACATGATACATTTGGACAAAGGATACTGTACTGATTTCGATGTTTTGCATTTTCCTTCATTCGCTGTAGCTGTTGTTGATGGCATTTCATACTCCAAGGATTATGATGTTTAAACTGTGAACTGACGTTCCCCTTTTTCTCAACACTGTAATACGACACTTCAGATTTCTTCAGCAATTCAAATTCTTCTTCTAATTTATGACTGAAAAATAAGAAAAAGCATTAATATCTGTGACCAAACAGCAGTGTGATACACTTTTAAAAACAGTATGAAAAATTGAGTTGTGTTCTGATAAGGTTTACCTGTGCACTGCTTTCAAACATGTTACAACTAACAGGAGGCATTCACTAGCTATTTTATTATAATCTGAGGAATCTGTGCAACTTCCTCACAAACCTTCTACCCCATTTTAAAGGGTTTGCATTTCATGGAATAGATTCTAGCCTAAGGAATATGTAGCACTTATTGTGGCCTAACAGTAAAGAGGCCACAATCCCCTTTGTATTTTGCACCTACAGACTGACATAGGGTAACTAGCACTAAAGTATAATCTTTCAAGATTAGTCATCTGCAAATCAGAAAATCTTCCAGAGATTCCTTCTCATGTCAAATATGCTGCAAATTAGTCATGAAACAGGAAACTTAATTATTTGGTAAAAGAGCACTGAAATTCAGACTCCCGAGTTAATGTTCTTAGGATGTTGTTTTGTAATCCATTAGACTTGAATGTATATGTGCTTTGTTTACTTTTCCTCCAAGTTACCTTTTCATCATTTTTTCTTCTTTTCGGTGTTGTCGGACCCATTCCTTCGTTAGCTTTTCGTTTTCTAGCAATACAGTCTTTTTATTAGTCCATCGTAGCAATTTACTTTTAGGTTCACAGTCAGAATTATCTAGGCTTTCTAAATTATCATGGTCCCCATTTAGCGGATATGCTATTAGGCAGAGGTTTCCATCTTCATCCTCTTCAAAACTTACAGATACCACACCTTGAAAGGAGAAATGACACATCCAGTTAAGAACCAGAGAAATAAGATGCTAATAAATCTTAGAACACAACATAATTTTACACTAAGAATATAGCAACTTTGGTTTTTCTCTTACCCCAGTCCTTAGTTTTTTATCTTGCCACAGGCCAAAACTCATCTGTCAACCTAACAAATATCAAAACATCTAGACAAAGTGACACCTCACAGAGAAGACAAGTTATCATGAAGACAACACATTAATGATACAGGAGATTCTTCCCTTTTTCCTGAGCAGAATCACATAAGAATCAAATAATAACAGGAGACGTTTTCCATTATTGAAAATTTTTATTATTTTTTAAAAATCTGACTTATCTGTCCCTAAGAATGATGTAAAACATTGAATATTTACATCTTGCAATGGAATATGCCCTGCACAGAAACACCACAAGCTTTAAGTTTTGCTCAACAGCAAAGCAAAAAGCATTTATCCAAACAAAGGAGGGTTAAGAGAATCCAGGGAAAGGAAAGGCTTTCAAGAGCAGAGCAAAACAAGAACAACAAAACACATTACAACAGACAACTAATTTGAAGGCTTCCATATAGAATCACCACGTTTAAGTTCACAATTCTTTTTTTTTATTTTTTTATTTTGGGGAATATATTTTATTGGTTTCAGTTATGTAAAAAAGAAATAACAAAATGAAGTACAAAACAAATTTGACTGAGATACATCAAAACATGGTGAACCTTGAAAGCATTTTGCCTCCTCATCTCAAAAGTCTCTAGAGCACTGTGTAATGGTTTGAGAGTCTTAGAGGAAAGTTCTGACAGGGGTGCTTCCCTGTGCCATATAGAAATGTTACGGCAGAAGTTGTAACAACTGGCTGAATGGTTTTTTTCTCAGTCCTCTCTCTTTATCCTGAAATCAACCAATCTGCACATTCTTGCCGCTCATCACTAGAGTTCTTGGCGGGAGACTGGCACTTCTGAGCAGGGCAGGCGGCTCTGGGACCTACAGTAGCAAGGGCGGGGAGTGCGGAAGCTCTGACTGACAGTCCTGCTGTCCACACAGGAAAGATCTACAGGATAGGGGGAAGCCAGCTAGAAAGTGGCCTTTGGCTTTCTCCTGGAAAAAACAACAGAAACGGACCAAATCAGCCCCCCACCCCTCAGTCCCTCCCACATACACCAAAGAGAAAAACCACATATGCTAATACAATTTGTTACATTATGTTAAATATTTTTTAAAAACATTTCATGCTAAGAGCTTGTAAGGAGAAATTTTCAAATGTTTCAGTAAGTGTGCACATCAAACAGCAATATAGCTAAGAGACATTTCCCCTCAGCCTGTCCTTCAATTCATATATACAACTGGGAAACAAGTTGTTGTTTTATTAGTGAAAAATTTTAATGATTTAATCAGAATTTTAAAAAATTGGATTATCATTAATTAAATCCCTTAAGTGTACTTTGTGTTGTCTAGTGCAATGCTGAGAACTGGAATATCCACTTCTACATACCATCTGAAATAGTTTTTTCAAGTGTAATTCACCTTTTGCCTAACTAACAGCCGTAGTTTTTTTCCATTTCCTTAAGGGAAAGTACAAGCACTGCTGTTTTCACTGCTATAATGACATTTGATTGAAATATCCAGTGTGATCAAAATGTAAAAGATAAAAACAATCTAAAAATCCACACTGAAATTCCACAAGAGAAGCAAATCTTACACTGTTCAAAAGTAATAATTTTAAAAGTGCACACAACAAAAAAGATCAGAGTGAAGAGCACAGTATTACTGAAAACATTTACAAGCTGTTATCAATATACTTACCTACCTGTGCCTAAAGGTGATCTACAGGCTATCATCAGCAGAGTTGTTCTACTCTAATGCTGTTAGTCAGCCCAAAGACCCACTGGCAAGCATCTCCACCCTGCATCTGCACAGCCTGGCTCAGACAACATCAAAATACATGAAAAGAAGCTCCCTAAAATCTTTTCAGTGTAAGAGATTTTAGAGACAAAACAGAAGAGCACATTTGAATTGATGACGGAAATAAAATGCCCAGCCCTCTTCTAAAGTTGGTAACATACCTTCATACTGAGGAGTGAATTTATGCATTTCTGCAGGAAGAGTTTCATAGAACTGGTGTTCACGCTGGATAAGGGGCTTACAGATGGTCTTGTCATTAAACCGGAGGACACAGGAGTGACCCCCAACCTGGTGAACAAAAGGCTCCAGCAGGACGCCTTTGGAATAATGCTCCACTTCCATAGCTCCAAATGCCGGGCTCATCCTTGTAGCACATTAGACACACCAATGTGGCAGTTGTGAAATCAGCTCTTCCAGAGCTTTGTTCCCCCAGAAGATCTTTAGTCCAGTTCAGAACGTCTATGGAAAGAGAAGAAAATCCCTTTTCATTTACCAAAGTGGATCAGAAACAGCAACACTAACAGATTCCTTTGTAAGCTCCAGCACGACAAGCAGAAGCGAAACTCTCCTTACAGAAGCTGAAACTGAAAAGAGCCGACCAGCTCACAGTGCTGAGACAAACAGGAGTGAGGTCATGCAAAAAAGTCTGCAGGCCCCGCCTATTCCTGTCTTAGCCAATGGGAATTAGCAGAAGGTATCTCTATTAAGAAGGAGGAGGAAGGCTGGCAATGCAGAAAGTGGACGAGAGGGCAAAGCACTAACACTGCTTTTCCCAGCTCTGGATATTTGCTAACCCTTGCAGTATTTTTTATCAACACAACAGACCATAGGGAACAACTGGATAAATTATGCATTATCACTCATTGCAAGATACTGAACTAGGCTAGCATACATAACATTTAACCTATAAAAGAAAGCAGCATTTCCATTTGATGCTCTTTCTTTTAGCATATGTATTTTAGCTTCCTTTTAGATGCAGAAAACTTGTCTTTTAAAAAGGCTTTAGCTGTATCCCTCCCTATATTTAGCAGTTTAGTCTCTTGATCTTTTAAAATAAGGATGCCAGTAGACAGTATTCAACATTCATAGGCATTTATATTTCTAAATGCTCTCATTTTAAACTCCCAATATCAACCTGATTTTGGACTATGTTTTGTGAACTTCTGTGGGAGCAGTTTCTGAGACAAAAATGGGAAAAAAATACCCACACTATTGTGTGGCCACATATCACAGTAAGATACAAAGAACAAATTTCTGACATTTTAAAAATTTCTCAAAAATTGCTTTGCATATTTTCGGAATGTGGTTCACTTTTCTTGTTCTACTACCAACAGAACCACCTGAAAACATATACAGGAGAATAAACTTAAACATTTATTCCATAACTATTTTCTCTATATAGGACAAACATTAACCAGAATTATATTTAGTAAATTTAGTAGCTGAATGACCCATTATACTATTCAAAAGAGCCTACTGGAACAGTAAAGCAGATGATAAGATGGCCAAAATCTTATTAGCAAATGCAAAGTCTGATACAATCTGAGCTTCAGCTTTTATATCTAAATATAGCATGACACCTACCTTTCCTTTAAAGAGTATTAAATTAATAATAATGCACCTAATTCTGGGAACCACAAAGTGTTCTAGGTCACACATCTATTTTTAGGTATACTCAAGTATAGGGTAACAGCTTAAAGTTGTCCAAAACAGGTTGAGTCAGCATTAAATGCTACAGAGTTAAATGATGCTTACTTTTACTAGTGAGTACAAAAATACAGCCCTTTATCTTCAAACTAAATTCCAGGGATTATAGAAACAAAAGGTTTTTTAAATATCAGAACTGGCAAGTTTACAGAAGTATGACTGGGGTAAAGACGTTAGATAAAGCTAACCAAGTATTTTAGTCTGATTACAAGATCCTAAATAGTACCTAATGCCAAGTACAATACTATTCAAATTACAGAAATATTGGGAGCTCAAGACCTTTAGATTCAGTCCCTCAAAAACACTCATTGCAAAGATAAACAAGAACCTGGAATGTTTAGTATCTTAATGGGTTACTTTGCGAACCACATTCCAGCTTCATAATAGTACTGCATTCAATTCATTTCTGTAACATCATTTTATCCAGAAGAGGGCATCCTTACTATTTTCCAAGTTATTCTCACACATAAGGGTACAAATATAATTTTGGGTTGGACAAGCTAAAAATACCGTGATTCAAAGTAAACAAATCTGCATAGGATTTTAATTTAAACCATACCATGAAAACATTCAAACTATTTTGATCAATCTCTAAAACAAAAACAAAAAACAACATGTAAACCAAGAGTTCTGTCAAAATCACTCTTTTATTTTCTAGTCCTTACAGAAATGAGGATCTGCAACAAAACAGATTTCACAATCTACACAAAAGCACACAGCTTCCCACTCTATCATCCCCAGTGACCTCATTAATTTTTTTCTAGCACTTTCACAACTTGTTTACTTTCATACATGTTCAAAGCAGACCACAGGGAATTTTGAACCTTATGTATTTACATAACCAAAGCCCCCTGGGTATTATGAAAAAACATGAACCAACAAGCCCTCACCCCCACATACACAAAGAATTAAAACTGTACTCTGTATCAGGGTAAAAACGTATTTTTAAATTAATAAAAAGAATATTCCATTTTGTTCCTTATTCCTGAAGAACTTACTCATATTAACACTTTGTCTGAAAATGGTTTGGAACATTCAAACTTGGAAAAGGTTTGAAAATTTCCATTTACTCAGACTGCTGAAGATACCCATTGGCAGGAGTCTATTAAAACAATTACATTACTCAAAGACCAAAATGATTGCCTTGAGTTGCCTCTTAACTTCAAAGCCCAATTCACAGTACCATCTCTGGTTTTATTTTTCAATTCTGAATGCACTAAAGAACACCAATTTTCTTATATACTGTATATATACTTGCTAACTTCTCATCTGATTTCTTGCTCAGGAAATTACATTTCATTATAAGTGTTTAGGATTGCAGATTGCTCATATAAAAACATTTGTATCAATATTGTAGAGGGTGCATTAATTTACAGGCTTCCCAGTAAATTGCTGCTCCAGCTTATTCGACAAGTTAAGGCCCAAGGCACTCTCAAATAGTGTAAATCATAGAAATGCAAAACCTAAGTGCTCTGGACACTAACCTGTCAAATAAATGGGGGACAACTTAGTGATAGTAAAGAATGGATTAATATGCTTGATATTAAGTGCTATTTTACACTTGCTTATTATAAAACCCTAGAGATGGAAGTAACCACAGGGAACATCTAGTCTAATCTGTTGTCATGTAGGAAAATACAATCAAAGAATTTTTTCTTGATTTTGTCAATGCATGCACTTCCAATTGTTGAGTGTTTAGGATATACAAAATGCTAAAAGAGAATTACTACAAGTAGTCAAGTCTAAAATTGTATTCAACTTTAAAATGGTGCAAATCATTGTACAACTGCATGAAATTTATTTGTCCTTTCCTATAGCTTTAATATTAAGAGGTAAATGGACAACGTATTACAGGCAGTCCCCAAGTTATGAAAAAGACAGGTTCTGTAGGTTTGTTCTTATGTTGAATTTGTAAGTTGGAACAGGCACATTTTATGTGAAACTCCAGCCAAATATGATCTTTTAGTTTTGGACATAGGGAAGGGTTAATACCCCTGTGGTGCCTGTTTAGATGTATGTGCCCCTGTTCATAAGATGTTGCTTCACTTTCTGTCCTTGTGAGAGTTGGATTTTGAAAATCCAACTGTACTAAGCCAGTACAGGTAGTCCCTAACTTATGGGCAAGATAGGTTCTGTAGGTTTCTTCTTAAGTTGTACTCGTTTGTACATTATCCTGCCAGTTTGTTGTTTGGATTAAGATGGATCAGCATGGGTATCGTCACAGTCCCCGTGTGCTGTGCAGGTGCCTGTATACATGACATCCTGAAAGCCTGCCCAGAAGCGGCACAGGTCACTCTAAGCCACGAGATTTCCCTAGAAAAAGTTTTGTTGCGGTTTTTTGTTCGGTACAGCTTTTAAAACAACACTTGACCCTTTGGTGCTATAGCTCTTAATAACAATGGTGTCTTTATTCTTCCTAGTTCCGCCCCATACAAGGTCTTCTATCTTCCTCGTAAGACCATTTATGTAACTCTAAAAGAAAGAGTTTTAACTCCTACTAAATCTCCTGAGTATAAAAAGAAAAGTGTTTTGATTATTAACAAACTTTCCCAAGAACAGAATATCCTTCTTAAATATCAAGTAAATGTATAAAAATGATCCACATGTCTGGAAACAAAGAGTTTAACTAGTAAATTACAGGAAGTGCTTTTGTACTGCTAATAATCTTTTTTAAAGACTACATTTTTCAGTGATTGGCTCTTCTACTTATGTTCCACTCTCTCCTACCTCATTTCTATACAAATCCAAGCTTTCTTCAAAAAGTTCCAAAGTAGATGAATATGCAACTTTCAGCGTCAACACTTTTATTGGCTTCAAAGGCCATTCAATTCCCTTAGGTATATACATACTATAGTTATTTCTTGCCATAGATGTGGGCGAAATGCCAGGAGAGAATTTATTTATTTATTTATTTATTTATTTATTTCAAGGTTTTATATACCGACCCTCTCACCTTCAAAGAGGGATTCGGACCGGTTCACAACATGTGTTAACATACAAAGAATATACAATAACAACACAATGCCACTTTATTACACGATTAAAATATCAGCACCATACACATTAAAACATAATCATCACAGTTAAAAGAGCCAAATTGTCCAACACCATCACAATCCCATTCATCATCCTCCTTTCATGTGGACAAAGAATTCAATCAGTTGTCAAATGCCATACATCCTTGAAAACTCACAGCAACCCAGTGATTCCGGCCACGAAAGCCTTTGACAACACACTAATGATTACCTATTTATATATCTATTTAGTTCGCTTTATTAGCCTAGCATATTCTGGATTAATCTCTACACTAGGAATCTATGTTGAAGATGGAGTAATTCACCAAATATCTTCCTACTTGATATAAAAACCTCTGACTAGCCTCAAAACAAACAGAATTATCATTTCACTTACTATAGGGGGATGTTTATTCCACAGGATAAAAGCAGATAATCTCAGCCTTAGTCCAGATAACATATCTCTAGACATGTGCAACAAGATATCAATTAATGGAAGACATCACAGTCTCTCCATTTCAAACTTTACAAAATCCATCAGACAATATGGGGCCAAACAGTCTAGGTCTAGGTTGTTTCAGCAATTTTAGCTCTTCAAAAATGTCAGTAATTGAACTCACAGTGCCTGCTATGTGTAAACAGAATGCCAATGCTGGCTTTGAAAACTGGATGAGAACCCTACTTCAAAGTTATAGTTGCAAAAATGACTAAAGCCAATATGTCAGCAATAGAAAAGCA